CAGCATTGCACAGTTTTTGACCCAAAATATGGTATATGCAAGTTACTGTGAAGATTGATCTGATAAATGTCATTTCATATTAACTGCTATGGTGGAAATACTGCCTGGTCATTTAAATTACAAACAGCAATATCTGTATGTCATTTATTGAATCCAATAGGTCTATAACCTCTTATATGCCATAAGGAGGTTCTGCATACTGCATGTTAAAGTGATATACCCTGTTTAGCAGTCTATGGATTGTTTTACATATTTCTATGCAGAATCATAGAGCACATACTCTTATATTTTAAATTAAAAGTTGGATGGGGAAGCGGTACAAGTTTCCCAGGTGTTCGCGGGGTTGCGTATCCGAGATACAGTTCCATGTCGTCAACGACCATGTACTGTTATCTGCATTCGGGAGACAAAATGTTACAGTGCCCCTCCATGTGTCTCCTTCACCCCCCCACCCACATCTCATCTCCCTCTACTAGCCCCTCCACATGTCTCATTCCCCCCCAGTCACTCTGTGTTTCTTACCCAGCCCCTCCATGTGTCTCTCCCATCCACCCCCTCCATGTGTCTTTCACCCCCATACATTTGTGACAGACACACACACACACACTGACAGACACATATGCACGGACAGACAGACACACACACTGACAGACACACACTCACACTGACAGAAAGACATACACTGAAAGACACACACATGCACACTGAAAGACACACACACCAACTGACAGACACACACTCACACTGACAGACACACACTCACACTGACAGACACACTCACACTGACAGACAGACACACACACACACACACACAAACTCACTGACTGACAAACAGACACACACACACTGGCAGACACACTGTTGCACACTCTAAAAATTTTATTTTTTGATCATTTATTGTCATATTCCCGCTCCTGGCATCACAGAGGGCACGCAAGGAAGGAGAGAGGAACTGACAGATTATCCTCCCTTGCCTGCATCGTGTCCTCCCACGCCCATCCGGTATATATTGGCAGAGTAGGCAACTGCCATCCAGGTAAGCAGGTGCCTACTCTGCCTCTCTAGGTAAGAGCTGAGTTGGATGGCCCTGATGTAGCCAGATGGCCACCTCCTGGGCCCCCTGTGAGAGAGCTCCCTGGAGTGACAGGCCCGGTTGCAGTTGCTACTCCTGCGATTATGGTAATTCTGCTACTGATTAGAGGGATACTATAAACACCAAACAACTTTAGCTTAATTGAGTTGTTTTGGTGTATAGATCATGCCCTGCAGTCTGACTATTCAATTCTTGGCCATTTTGGGGTTAAATCACTTTGTTTAACCCCTTAAGGACCAAACTTCTGGAATAAAAGGGAATCATGACATGTCACACATGTCATGTGTCCTTAAGGGGTTAAGGAGCCCTAGACACACCTCCACTGCATGGTATAGCATTAGGAATACAAATGATATACTGCCCTGGCCGCCGTTTAGGTTATTGATCCCCAATTGCAGTGAGTAAAAAAGATCTTTTACTTACCTTTTCTCCATTACAGTGCAGGTATCCTCACTGCCATCCTCCCTCCTTGGCTGAAATCATCATGATCACAGCCAATCCAATGCTTTCCCAAGGAGTGTAGCGCACATGCACGGAAGAACACTGTGCTGCACCAATCAGATGGCATCTCTGATTGTCTCTCTAGTGATTTAAGCTCTGCAATGACATTATTAGCATTCTGCAGAACGGCAATGTTTTCAGCTACATGGTTAGAATGGGGAAGGGGAGAGTTTAGGGGGGCATAGGCAATTTATTGAGATGAAGTGGTATGTAGTATAGTGTCCCTTTAACTATTTATCACTTGGAAAATGATGGTGATTAAGAAAAAAAAAGACATAAATTATTTACATATTGTATAAGGTATTTTTGATAAATTAACCCAATGTAATTCTGAGAAACCACATAAAACTTTGAATAGATAATGAAGGGATGGCAGTAGTCCCAAACTGAAGCTATCAAATTGTACACTTAACATTGCATTTTTAAAGAAATGTTTTTACCAATAACCTACTTAAATTAATATTGCTATATCACGCTAGAGAGGTAAAATAGAAAGGATTTTTTATTACATCTTTTCTGACATTTTCTCAAGTAACATGTTCGCATTCAAAAGGCTCTAGCAAGCTAGGAAAGAAAGTCAGAGTGAATGACATATTTTAATAACAACACAAACTGGAACTTTAGTTAAGTTGTCACTTACATTATTATACCAAATCTACAGTACCCTCAGATTTACAGAAGATGGCACTGTAGCCAAAAATTATGGGTTATTTAATAAAAATGGTTATAGACCTAGAATTTGCACCAAAATTTCATATTCAAGAGAGGGCAAATCCTCTTTACAATAAAGATAGTTTTGAGGGTCTCCATAGCAATGCAGGTCACTTGGTTCTAAAGCACATACATATGCATTTTCAATTGTGGTGATTTCATAATCAAAGTTAATTAGCAGCTCCCAATAACCACAGTTTGAAATGGCATCTTTCAAATAATGACATTGTTTAGTAATACTATTTTTGGTGATTACTATTGTATTACGTATCACTTGATTTGAAGAAAAAAAAGCATTTCCTTCTTGGTGTTACATGTATATACTCCTTAGAGCCATGTTGTCCTCCTTTTTTCAAACAAAGGATCTAAAGAGTATCCATATAATATATAATTTTAAGACAATTCTGGGGGTCTTTGGATGTATACATGACATACATGAAAACAGAAAAATAAATAAATAAATGATCCTTCCTAAATCTATTATTTATGTTTAAACAATGTATAACTATTATATTGTGTGGCCTAAATATCTGCTTTTCAAATTACTTTTGTTTTTTGAGAGATGCATTACTATTTATTCACTTATAGCAATGGCGGCTAAAAACCATTTATCATGGCTCTCAGAACTTCCTGGTTTTACTTTTATGATGACATTACAGATCTGGGTCAAATTAGGGATTTCTAATCCCTAATAAATAAAATTATAGCTTACCAAGAAAATCCTCCAGGCTTGTGTAGGATACCGAGCACATTGAAATGGTTAATTATGATTTCGTTCTCTAGAATTTAAAGCGATAAGATCCCTGTAAAATATATACTGACTGTGTTGGAATTTCACTAAAATTCCAACCCAGTCAAAATATATACTTAGACAAATTAGGGACAACTTTGTCTCAGTATTTATCCTCCACCTGACATTTCTAGACACCGGGCAGATCTACTGACATTTAGAAGGGTAAATCTTCAAGCTGTCACCAGTGTTGGCTGCAGAGTTATTAGCTGTATCTATAGAGGATCCTGCGTTCTCGCAGGATCGTCCATAGACTTCAGTGCCGCAGTAAGATAAGCTCCTGGCTACAAGTCAATTAAGTGGATATGGTATCCACCAATGCCTTCTTAAAGAAACACTCCAAGCACCACAACTACTACAGTAATAGTGTTTGGAGAATGCCTCTTGTAGTAGGTTTTAGAATGGATTTACTTCTTACATGGATTCCACTAGGTGCAGCATCTTGCCTCCCCAACCTGAACCAGAGAGTTAGAAGCTTCTGTCTAGGACTTTCTTTTAACACAGCTGAGCTGAGTCATGCAGTGCAGAGCTAACTCATTGTCTGAAAATGTCAGCTGGTTGCTCTAGCTAAGCCCTGCACCACCAGGCTTAGCTCAGACAGAGACTAATGGCTGAGGTCGTTGGGACGGGGAACAGCACCCGGAAGACCTCCGGTAAGAGAAAAAGTAGAAGCATTTGATTGAGCAGCAATGACTTGGTGAGAGGAGAAAGGCTGATGTTCATAGCCTGTTACTGGCTGCAACTAACAAGTAATGCTGATGCCTTACTCGTTAGTAGAAATGTACATAAAGAGAAAGAGAGGAAGCCAACCCAGTACCTGGTGAACTCCACCTAGGTGTTAAACTGTTTGATAATGGTTTAATACTTAAAGGTAATAATAATGGTGGACTCCAGGCAGCATAACCATTTCAATGATATGAAGTGGTTTTGGCTCCTTGGAAAGTTCCTTTCATTGTCTCTATCAAGCTGCTGGTTTAAACATTAGAAAGTTTACTTGATAACCCAGTTGTAATATTTAATATAATATGACTGTTTTAATTATTTGTTTCCAGGTTGGTTATTTTGCACAAATTGTACAAAAACATTATAGTCTAATTTAGAATGTAAAAATTCTCTTAAATCTTATTACATGTTCAAATTTGATATATAATTACATCAACAACATAATCTATATCTGTCAGTAGTACATTAAAAATATACCAAAAAGTATGATGATTTTATACAATACATAGATGTTTTACAATTATATTTAAATTGTGTAGATTATAACTTCCCTTAGTATTTGAATAATTCCGTGTCATATCTTTCTTCATGTGCCTAACAAATGTTTTATAGTTCCTTTCAAATGGTTTTAATTAAAAACAATAAAAGTAGTTTCCTTTTCTTTGATAACAAACATAACTTTTATATCACATTAAAAGCATATAACAAATGCCAATGAGTTCAAAGAAAAATATAATCTCCTTTGTTATGTGTTTTTTTCTTCAGCTAACCACAGCTACGTTGGATGGAAAACTCCAAACATTTGTTTCATGACTGGACTTCTTCAGCCCTGGCATAAAGAAGGTGCAACTATTTGTGGTTTATTTTGTATATTTACACTTTCAATCAGTAAATGTAATGCTAATTATTTTTTTTTTTGTTTTGAATGTGAATATAGCAAACCTGTGAATGGAAAAAAAACAAACCTACCTGAAGCTTACTTGCAACTATTCCGAGATATAAATTTCATCGTATACATTAGTTCACATTTTTGTCCATAAAATATGACAAAATAAATATCTCTGATAATTGAATTGCAGTTTCCCATGTGAAAATTGTTACATTAACGTCTAGCATAAAATTTAGTAGATACAACATACTTTGTAATATACCGTGGACTTTATACTCTAAACTTTTAACCATGGTGAATTGACAATCAAAAGTACAATTTTTGGGGACAAAATGATTAATAAGATTATTCACTGAAGTGAGAATTATTGGAAATTCAAAGTGAATTTTAGATTAAAGACCAAAATAACCAAGCATTTTTCCAGTTTTACTACTTGGCCTTCAATTTGAAATTCACTTTGAATGCCTGATAATTCTTTAGTGAATAATGCTGTTAAATGGATTTACAGCAGATTAGAGAAGATTTATATTCTATTTTATGTTTTGGGTGTACATTTGCTTCTTAAAACCTGAATTCTGAATTGCTGGATAGAGACATTCAAAAGGCAAAGTAACATATTAAAGAAAAACTCTCTGTGGTGTATAGGACAGCAGCCAAAACAGTTTTTATTTTAACAAACATGTGAATAGAGAAGTATTACGACTTGTTGCATGTTTAAAATATAATATTTTTGGTTTATATATTGTTTGTAAAAGAACTAGGAAAATGCTAGGCTTTCAAACAAACTTTACTATAGATATTATTGTATGCTCTACTAATTGAAATGTTAAAGGCATGAATAAACATATTTCCATTTGTACATCTCTTGGTATTTATTCTTTTTTTTTTTTTTCACTATCTTTATAAAAAAGACAGCGCTATATCAAAAAGCCATACAGTAAGCACGGAAAGATTTGTATAAACCATCTCAGATTACCTTATGGGCATGTGTAGCAAGAGGGGACCACTTAGCAAAATACTGATTAATGGTATTTATTTGTAATGCTTTTATTTATTATTCATTTATTTGTTTATAAAAACATTTTACCAGGAAGGATACATTGAGATTTCTCTCGTTTTCAGGTATGTCCTGGTTTTTTTTTTTTACTTTTTTGTAATTTCAGTTTTTTTTATTGTAGTAATAGAGAAAAGCCACTTATTTATTCATTTATTACTGGTATTTATAGAGTGCCAACATATTCCACAGCCCTCTAGAATTAGGGAAGAACATACAATATACATAGACAAATACAAATACAAGAGCTTCAGTATAATTGTTTCTGGGTGTGAGATGTGAGACCTGGGTGATGGAAAATGGAGAGCTTCAGTATTATTGTTTATGGGTGTGAAATGTGAGACCTGGGTGATGGAAAATGGAGAGCTTCAGTATAATTGTTTCTGGGTGTGAGATGTGAGACCTGGGCGATGGAAAATGGAGAGCTTCAGTATAATTGTTTCTGGGTGTGAGATGTGAGACCTGGGCGATGGAAAATGGAGAGCTTCAGTATTATTGTTTCTGGGTGTGAGATGTGAGACCTGGAAGTTGCTGGAAGATGAAAAATAGAGATCTTCAGTATTATTGTTTCTGGATGTGAGAGGGGAGGTCTGGAGGTTGCTGAAAGTTGCTGGGAGATGACAAATGGAGAGCTTGAGTATTATTGTTTCGGGGTGTGATAGGTGAGGCCTGCAAGTTGCTGGAAAATGAAAAATAGAGAGCTTCATTGTTATTGTTTCTGGCTGTGAGAGGGAAGGTCTGGAGGTTGCTGGAAATTGCTGACGGTTGCTGGGCGCTGCTGGGAGATGGAAAATGGAGAGCTTCAGTATTATTGTTTCTGGGTGTGAGAGGTGAGGCCACTTGTGGTGGTAATACAATAATGGTGCTTACTACATTTTACAACACAGTAGATTATTGGTAAACATAACTGGGAAAGAACAAAACAAAGGCTATACAAGTGCTGTACAGTTTAACAGGGCAGACAAGCTTGGCCAAGACCTAACGTCATTTCACAGCAATTCTGTATTATTATGATTACTAAATAAAAACAAGCTAAATAAAAACAAACATCAAGCATAAAAGCATAAGAATAAGAAACGTAGAGGCTACTGTGGTATGAGAAATCACATCAAACATTAGATCCGCATATATTCAAGCAACTAAAAGATGTTCAGGTTACCACTGAAGCTATATTTGGGAGGACTGTGTCACGGCTTACCTTAGTTGGGAGTCTGTAGCGCAGATATATGCTCACCCTTGCAATTAAACACAGGCCAAGGTGGTCAGGTAAGAACTTACCTGGCCTGTGAGTCTGTGCACTGGGGCTATGCAGGATGATGCTCCAAGCCGCAGTACAGATACGGACATAAACAGGAGAATCGTCGTGGGTAAGCCAAAGGTCAGTGGGTGTCAAAAATCAGAATAAACGAGTAGAGAGCCGAGGTCAGAGGATACCAGAATTCAGGATACACGAAATAACAAGCCAAGGTCAGGAATCAACAGGAGAACACTGGAACACAAACACCAATACAGGAACCAGAGTGAATGAACTGACACTGCCCTCAGGGAGATGCAGTGTCTTATACCTGGCTGAACCATGAATGACAGGCTCAGAGGCATATTGGCTCAGAGGCAAAATAGCAGGTCCAGAACTGCAAACTACCCATGTTCAAATCCCTCATTGGGCACTTCTGGGGCGACCTCATCTGGCAGTCTGGATGTCGCGGTGAGAACGAAATAAGTACCTGCGCAGAACCCAATGGAATGTGGACTCAGCCCAGCCCTTCTATCCTATTCCACATTCCATTGGGTTCTGCGCAGGTACTTATTTCGTTCTGGTACAATCAGGGCAGGCAACAAAAGTCCCAGTGCTGAGACAAAGGTATCAGAATGTAATACGTCAAAAAGTTGAAGTTGTTTTCCTTTATTCTGTGTCCCTGGCCCAACCGATTTAGGATAGTATGATCACATAAAAGCTTGGTAACTGAACCCAGTTATAACCTCCACACCACTGTCAAATGAGAAAAAAGTCCCATTGAAAGCCAGCAGAATAGCCTAAATTCTTATAAGTAGTAGTGCAGTAATTCGCCATAGGGTATGTACTACTGATTTAGATGTTTCTCCATCTGTGTAGATCCACCATATAAGCCAACATTGTCTTCCTCGATTGCCTGCATGCGGCCTGTGAGTGTGGCCATGTCTTTTTCCACCACAGAGACGTCTGCAGCAAAAAGGGTCTTAACGGTAAGGAGGGCTTTAATGTCTACATTACTAGTAGGTTGGTGATCAGCCTCCATTTAGAGTTTTTGGCTGGTGGCCACCAGGTTTGGAAATTCAACTGATTCACTGAGATCTGATGAGGTATGGGACTGCTCCCTGTTGGGCGCCATTTTAGCCACATGAGGCTGCGGCCAGAACAAGAAATCTTCTTGAAATACTTGATGAAGGTCGATTGGGTTGCTGCCGGGATACCTGATTTATCAGCTGCAGTATAAGAGGCCTTCACCTTGTCCTCCTCTGTGCTAACCTCCAAAGAAGTTGGAGAGACTCCTTTTAAGAAAATAAAAAACAGCTCCTCTCAGCATGCATTTTTCCATGCCTTAAACTATTGCGCAAAACTTAAAGTTAGCTCTAAAACACAAAAACACAAGTGTGGGAAATATGATTTCCTAAGCATATATAAAAATCTATTTAGCACATAAAACTTCCCCCAAAACAGACAAATTCTTCTCCTCATACAAACTCCAGCCTTTTCTTTTGAAAAATGGATGAAAGAATAAAGTAATAGTAAAGCATGCAAGCTACTTCTACTCTAGGACTCAGATGTTTCTTTACTTTATAGGTGGTAAACATAGTATAGTTACTAGACATGTGCATTTGTTTTCGTACCAATACGATTTCATCTGAAAATTCCGGGGTTTTTTGTATTTGTTTACTAAAACGTAAACGAAAGTCCTACAAACGAAATATAAACAAAATAAACAAAACGAAATGGCAAATGCCGAATGCATTACCGTTTCGTTTGTTTAATAGACTCCGTGCTGCAGGGGAATTAACCCCCACAACACAGAGAAAATAACACTGAGCATGTGCGAATAAATGTATTTAAAAAAAAAAAAAAGCAAGCAGGAAGCTGGCGGTGCTACAAGCTCCCTCCTTGTAATAATATTAATTCTTACCCCCCACCCCATTAAAACCCATGGGGTTCACTATGACCCCCATATGCCATGAGTAGGGGCATGTCACCTAAACAGCGAGCAGCCAGTGACTGGCCACTGTCATTTAACACTAAATATTAATCAGTATGGGGGTCATTATTGTCATAGATCCAATATTGATCTTTGTTATATTAAGGGGAACCGAAATTGTATCAAGTGCTCTTGGAGAAGCGTGAATTAGACACTTAGATGCGTGTTGGTTATCAAAATAAGCCTCCAACCTTTATTTTAACAATTTGTGCTTTTATACATTAAAAAGTAAGTGCTTACGTGCAAATACTCACAGAACAGTAGAAGGAAGGGAGTAAAATAACAGGGAAGGAGTACAGAAAAGACATAGGGATGAACGTATACATATACAGGGCTGGCCTTAGGGGTGTGCGAGCTGTGCGGCCGCACAGGGCGACAGGGCGCCATGGGGTCGACACAGCTCACACATGGCTGGACGGGATTTAAAAAAATAAATAAATTGCTGCAGGGATGAAGTGAAAGTGACAGCGGGGGCAGAGCTAAAAGTGCCGGACAACAAACAGTCTCCAGGAGCTGCACTGCCTCCACAATGAACAGAGGTAACTATGTGTGATTGTCAGTGTGAGTGTGACTGTCTGTGTGTGTATGACTGTCTGCCTGTGTGTGTCTGTGTGTGTGTGTGACTGCCTGTGTGTCTGTGTGTATGACTGTCTGCCTGTGTGTGTGTGTGTCTGTGTGTATGACTGTCTGCCTGTGTGTTTGTGTCTGTGTGTATGACTGCCTGTCTGCCTGTGTGTGTGTGGGACTGTCTGCCCGTGTGTGTGTGGGACTGTCTGCCTGTGTGTGTGGTTGGGACTGTCTGCATGTGTGTATGTGTGTGTGTGAGTGACTGCCTGTGTGTGTTTCTGTGGCTGTCTGCATGTGTGTGTGTGTGACTGCCTGCCTCTGTGTGTGTGGATGTCTTCCTGTGTGTGTATGGCCATCTGCCTCTGTGTGTGTGTGTGTGTGTGGCTGTCTGCCTGTGTGTATGTCTGTGGCTGTCTGTGTGTGTGGATGTCTGCCTATGTGTGTGGCTGCCTGTGTGTGTGGCTGTCTGCCTCTGTGTGTGTGGTTGTCTGTGTGTGTGTGTGTGTTTGTGACTGTCTGCATGTAAGTATGTGTGTGTAAGACTGTATTTGTGTGTGTGTGTGTAAAACTGTATATGTGGCTGTCTGCCTGTGTGTGTGTGTCACGTATTCATCCGCTTATAAAAATGTGGTTAATGACATTTACTGTCCACACAGGAAAAGTTGTGCCGAGCAGCAACCAAATCCACAGAAGGGTTAATGCTGAGCAGCAATTATGCAAATGGGAACCTGGTAACTGCTTTGGGGTCAAAGGCCGGTTACAGCCTATCAGATCTAGAGGAGGGGTATTTAGGCCCAGTTCTCATCCTG